AGGTTGTCACGATTATCATTGTGTTGGTTGTCATCCGTGTTTGAATCTGATTGTTCATCGTTGTTGTTGTTGGGGTTACTGAAGAGTTTGGCGAACTGTGCCATCGTTTCTTCCATTTTGTTGAGTTTTTCGTTGATCTGACTTTGAGTTGTTTTGATGTCTTTTGTCTCAATTAGTTGTTCTGTTGTGGAAATTGTGAAATCCAAGATGGATTCTATATCTTCTTCCATTTCATCCATATGTCTGTGTACTGTGTCTTCCTCTAATATGCTAATTCTTTTTTCTAGTTGACTTATCTGATGTGATACTTCAGTTATTGTTTTTTATATGTTGTGAATGAGAGCAAGGAGCATACTGTTTGAGGGGTGGTGCATGTTGATTCCTCAAGTTACATCGGCATAACTTCTGTTGGGTCTATCATACCTATACTGGTTTCTGTTGTTGTAGTATGTTTTCTCTCAATGTGTGAAGAATCTGTCTCTGGGATATGTCCCATGTCTTGTGCGAATATTGTCTGAAGGTTTAACATTGCAGTTTGCAACCATGTGTTGAGTATCCCTGCAGTAGTAACAAAGTTTTATTGTTCTGGCCATCCATGTGAGCTTGTGTCCTTTGAAATCGATGTCATTTGCTATTGCTTTGGTAAGGTCCTCTTGGGAGGTGAAATTTAAACTTGCGAATCTTCTAAATGTTTCATTTGTTTGTAGTGTTGTGAGAGGACTCTTGAAATCCTCTCTAATACTGAGTCTTTAAGGCTGAAGCATAATAATATAGTCTGAGTATCCTTCTTCTTTCTACAAAATAAACTTCAATTTCATTTATTAGCATACATATTCATTTTCTCAAATTATATCAAAGTTCCTGTTGTAGCAATGGGCATTTACAATATCAACTATTTGAAACTCTTTCAAATTCCTTTATGGTTACAGTTTCACCTTCAAATGTCAAACATTTGTATAATAGTTGTTAAACAAAAAGTTGTTATACAGTTTGTTAATTTTATTTAGACTTTTTTTCTTGCTTATATATATACTAGTCTCAAAAAATTATATCAAATATATCAACTATCTAAACTATCACTGCTATATCTAATTTCTTAACTATCTTAATTATTTGAAATAAAATGATGAAATCAAAGAAAAAAAATAAACTACAGATATCTCATTTTCTTCAGATTTTTCATTTTTGGAATCATTATTGCATGTACTCATATGACCATGCAATTTCCCTTTCACAGTATGTAACACACTTTGGCACCAACTTGTTGCATGATGTCACTGAGGTTTTGAGCTGTCATTAAGTCTGGAAACTTGATTAGTATAATTCTAAATTCATCTCTTTCTAGTCTTGTTTCTCTTATACAGTAGTATAGAAGCATTCTTATTATCGTACCCTCTATTGTTACTAACCAATTGTTTATGGCTATATCATAGTCGAATTGGTGAGTAAAGATTACTATTGCTGATTTGTGTAGTCCTGTTGTCTGCATTTGAATATACTCAATAGAATTAAATTTTATGGATCCTGTTATGATATCTTTCTTGGAAAAGTGTTGGGAATATTCCAGATTCTGACTGATTTGCAGTTGGTTTTATACAGTATATGTTGAGCATTGGTACTAATCTTGGTTTGAAGTTTTTAAACTCTAAGATTGGATATGTGTATGCTTCCTCAGCATCTGTGTAGTTACTGAAAATAGCCATAATGTTTGGTTCTCCTGTTGACTCTTTCACTTTAACATGTTTGAGGGAGGATCTACTTGCCATTCTCTCCCATATAAATCAGATTTTTTCTTGGTTGTCTTTTCCAGGTACTTGGTCAAGTGTAAAGAATACTTTGCTGCTGTAAAGTATGTTCATGTTTTTGTTGTTGCTATTGATATTGTTGTTGCTGTTGATATTATTAATACTGTTATTGTTATCCTGAACTGATGTATCTAGTACTTTTCCTTTCCTTTCTTGGCATAGGTGAAAGTTCTATTTTTCTCTTTTTTTTTTTTCCTCTTCCATTTCATCTATATGCTTCAGGTTTGTTATCGATCTTGTTTCTGGGTATTCCTGACTGTTGGTTCGACTATCCTCCATATCTGAAAGATCTTCTTCCATACTGATGTCAGTCATATCTGCTTCTAACACACTCATGGACTTCAGATGTTTGTGGTTTGGGATATTCATTTTCTGTATTATGTTTGCTTTTTTGCTGCTAATTGGCATTGGTCTCTTGAATAAAGTGGTTTTCTTGATAGTTGTTGTCTTCCATTTTTTTTTTTTTTTTTTTTTTT